TGTGATACAAATGCAGTTCTCACTATTGTTCTCGGATTGCATAAAATAAACTGAATTTGATTAGATTTTATAGGTGTAATGCATGCTGTTCTTCGTATACTGAGCTATTTAAATTTAGAATATTTTGGAGAAAGAAATGGCAATATATCACCTCGCTTATAGTATGGCAATATACAGTACCATGATAAATCATATTTTGACATGTATCTTATCACCAAATTCTTGACAATACAGAGCCCTAATACAGTGTTTGCCATGTTTTAAAAGGCTAAATATCAAAGACTACAACTTTGACAAAGTTATTTTACTTACTTGAAAATCAATGGTAACTGCCACAATGGAAAAAAAAACATGTTTGTAAATTCATTGTCAAACCACAAAAGCATAGTTTTATGATGAGAATAGTTTTCATTATTTTTTTTTATAATTTGTAAAGATCAAGGAAATTATAGATTTAACCCAGTAGCAAGAAAAAATTGATTTTTTTTACCTAATATTATTAGTCTGTTTACTGAGCCCCTTAAAAACTACAGAAGCCAACCATTAATGTCCGTGTCATGGGACACGTTGTGCTTTCTTTTTTCTCATCATGATTATTTCCTGGGAGGGAGAGTGTTTTCCTAGATTATTCTTATTTTTTGACTAATTAAAGGATGTTTTGGATTTTCTTCAGAGTCACCAAGGCTCGGCAGGCACCTAATTAACTCTGTCAATAAAGGAAACTCCCTCTTCCTGTGAGGACAGTGAGCAGCTCAGATACTGAGCTCCAGAGCTCACTGCACAGTGTTTGACTGTTGCGTATTCAGTACAGTATGTCATTTAAGTGTGACATAAAAATACTGATATATAGTTTTTATAACTCACTGTCAAAAAAGTAGACGTTTTTGCCTTAAAATGTCATGAAATTGTTTTTAAAGACAATCTAATGAATTATAATTACAGCACAAAGCAGGATCTAAGTTATTTATGTGGTTTTGCTCTACAATAATGTATACATGTTAACATTTTTAACTCTCACCATCAGAACACAAAGGCAGCAACCATACTGACGCCTTAACTATCTGTCAACATTATTGTCTGTTAGCAAAATATGTCACAGTCCAATGGACAACTTGCAGAAAAAAAATAGATGTACATTTACAACTCATTCAAGATGGCAATCACAGCTAAGAAGTTAACTAATTTCAGCTATACAGAAAAAGCTTTAATCTAACCAGTTTTACAGATATTAACCAAAAAAGTGGCTTGGTAAAAAACGGATCCCCAACATACAGTATACTTCAACTGTTATTTACTGCATGTTAGTCAACTCTGTTCTGTTATAATGTCTCATGAAACACTAGATGAAGCCTTTAGAGTGCAATCATTGGATGAATATTTACAAATCTAACTTTGAGTCAGCCCATTTATGACGTGTGCCACAGGTTTTTGACCTGTTAAACACAAAAAAGCTTATAACAGACTTTAAAGTTATAGCTTATAGCTGTACAGATATTGAGCAAAATGTTGACATGGCAGTGGCTCCATGTTATAAACAACACATACTTTGAGCATGACATCTTGTAATCAGGTTTAATCAAAGTGGCCACCACTCTGTCATTTAATCTCACCAGTTAAGGGATTAATTGTTTGAAGTTAGCGCCGCGCTGTATTATTTTTCTTTCTTGGTATCATTTAATTGTTTCTACATTTTTGTCATCACTAACGGTATTTTCTGGTCCTGCTTATACTGCAGCAGCTGTCGTCCCTTGTGTGGAATTTGGTTGCAGTAACCTGATAGGTTTGGACCAGCCTGCATCAGTGGCTGCAGGCAAACACGTCTCTTAACTGGTAATGGAGCCCGAACCAGAGAATCCCAGTGCCAACCTCCTCAAAATCAATCATTCTTTTCCCAACAAACATGGCTGGGTTCTTTTAAAGCAGCTGCCTGCAACAAGGACAGTTCAGGGCCATCCGATCCTTTTTTCAAAGCCACAAAGTGTTTTGATGCTTGCTGTTTCTGCACCTCTTCTGTCCACACCCACTGCAGTGTGACAAGATCTGTTGCCAGGCCCACCAGGCTTCATGACGGCAGCTCCGTGGGCAGAGATCAACACCAGCTGCTGCCAACTTCTTAACCGTGCTAACATATGCAGCACCAGAGCTTCCTACCATCTGCTCAGTCTTTTCAGATACTTAACACAAAAAAGGAAAAGAAATGCTTAGAATGATGACAGTTTTCACCTTTTCTGACCTTCACTTTGTTCTGGCATGTCCTCTTCTTCCAGTTCTGTTTATGCATGCGTTTGCAGGTGACTCACGTCTTCTGGAAATGTTTCTGTCTGGGTTTTTAAAAATTCCTCATCTTTTACAACTCTTCTCCTTAACTCTCATTTGTACTTCCACCTCCCCCCTCCAGCTCTCAAAGCCAGGACCTCAAAGCCAAGCCAGGTATGATTATATCTGGGTTGTTGTTAATCTCAGAGGAGCGACAACAGTTCTCTTTTTCCAGTGTCTGGAGAAAGGACGGCGGGAGGAGGAAGGGGGAAAATATTTAAAGCAAATGGAAAAATAAAAGGGAAAATTGGTGATTTGTTTATTTGGATCAGTTTAAAAGTTGCCTCATAGATAAGTGTGCGGTAAATTCTTCCATTTTTTGCATCAAAGAGACAATTTAATGATCCCTGCAGCACAACAGCACTAAACACTTACGTTTGTGTTTGTCTCCTCCAGGGCCTACAGTTCTTTGATGCTTCATGTTCAAACTCTTTTTTTATCCTGTTAGTGCTTATTGTTAAATGGATTCATGATCATGTCTGAGACAGATTTTTGAACACAAAGCATTTGGTATAATATAAAAAACAGATTTGCTCAAGAACCCAACATTAGTTTTTTTGTTCAGGAAACTGATTAAAAAAAAACAACATAATCTGATTTTCCATCAAAATAAAACTTTTGGAATTTTTTTGATTATTCTTCAACTTTTCATTGAACATTTGACACACAAATTCTGTCAGCAAAGATGATCTTACCTAAGCTCATAATCCTTGCAAAATAAACTTCAATGGCAGAAACAGATGCTGGGTTGCTCTTTTTTTTATTCAGGAGTTGGTAGATGTGTTTAAAAACGCACCCCTATTGGAAAAAAAAACATTAGGAAAGAACAAGGTGGAGTCACAAGTTCTCCATTTAAATAGACTTTAAATGTTCAGAAATCACTGCCTATCTCTAATTAATATTTTGCAAAATTGTCAAAATTGAACAAACTTCAGCAGAAAATGTCATATACCTTAACTAAATCACATTTGTTGCAACAATTATCAGCTGATAAGCAACTGCTTCATTTGATAAAATTTGGTCAGTTACTGATAACTACTTGGACTTAGGCTGTACTGACGTTGTAGAAAAATAAAGGTAAAGTCAAAATGACAGGAGCTAATTTTTCCTTCAATGACAATTAACTATTATTATTTATTTTATTTTGTAAACACATCACTGTTTCAAGAAATGGATTTACCCACACTAAATCATAAAAGATAAAACTAAAACTTACCCGGTTGTAATATTGCTATAAAAATACACCAAAAACAGGAAACAAGACATGGAGCATGGGCGTAAAACCTACATGCTGTGTTTAATGTAAACACAGGAAGAAGAAAAGTACACCCTTGGGTCGTAGCTAAACCTTTGACTGTTTTTATTTAAAATATTAACCGAAACATCATTGCAATGCAAAGTTGGCACTTCAAGACTTTGTTCACTATTAAAAACATTGTTTCCATGTGGATGCAGTGTTGAAACAACTCCACAAAACATTTCAATTTGGACCAGTAAAAAAATAATGCAAAACATTAAAATTTGCTTTAAACTTGGCTTTTTACCGTTTCAAGTAAAATATTTTTAAAAATATGTCTTTGCCACAAAAACAACAGTGAAACTGACACAAGCAAATAATCTCTGCTACAGTTGAAATAAGTTGAGTACTTGGTTTAGTTGTCACCTTCATAAAAAATTTCAACCATTATGAATTTTTTGTAATTAGATCAAGTGAAAGTGCAAAGATTGTATTTTTCTAAGAAGATCCGATCAATATTTCTGTTATCTGTGACTGATTAGTTGACTTCAGGGGTCGTTAAATCACAAGATGTGTATCCATGTGGGTTGAGTTAGTGATTTAGGGCTGTTGCTGCTGACACGCAGGATGAGGCTAATTTGATTAATCTGATAAAAGAACGCCTTTCAAAGAAGTAGAGTGAGCATCAGCCCACAAAACATTTGAGTTCTCAAGAAAACGTCAGTGAAAGTAACATTTGGTAGGTTCACAGTTAAACCTATTTTTTGAAGTTTGGGGAGGGTGGGGTGGGGGGGATTGCAAGAAGCTGGATTTGTGCTTTGGTTGAGTTTGATTTTAGTGAACATTGACAACTATCTGATGTGCCTCAGTTCAGATCATCCAGACAAGTCTAATAAGAGAAAAGAAGCTGAAGTCCTAAAACATGCAGGTTTATGTTTTTAGACTGTGGAAATCTCATTTAATGGCATTGGGAGAACTAAAGTTATAGCTGCGTGCAGTAGAGATGGTAACAGAGATCGGCTGCTGAGTATTTTTTCCACGGTTAACAAAGACTCCTCTGTGTGAAAGTTCAAATCCCACTGAGGGTACATATCGGAGCTGAGTAAGTGCCTTTTAGGGAGAACACAGCAAGCCGTTTTTTTTTATCAGCAAAGCTACTACATAAACAACCACAAAGCTTGATAAAGAAGAACAATCTACAGCGCAACAGATTTCAGTTTATACAAGGATAAGTGCTTTTGTTTTTCCTGATATTTCTGGTTAAACCCAAGTAAACAGAAGGAAATCAAAGCTTTGAATTTTGCAAGGTGTAGCTGGTTTCAAAGGGGAATCCGTTTGTGTATTATGAGTTCATTTGTTATGAACAAACAGTGATTTTCCTCTTTGCTGTTTTACGAGTTTGTTCTCATGGGAATCCTCTCTCTATGCTGTTTTCTTGCCTCACCAGGTTGAGCTGCATCTCAAGCCCATCCAGTCCATGCTGCACCACCACAAGCCTCTTGTCTTTGTGCTAAACTCCCCCCAACCAGTGGTCTGGAATGTCAAGGCAGAGAACCTGGAGCTGCGCATCGAACATACCTTTTATGTGAGTCCAGCATCACGGAAAGCCTTTAAGTCCTCCTTCCTTAAGCTGTGTCTTCATTTCCTCACTGTCTTGCCTTCCCAGTAGCCGGTGTCTAAGATGGAAATCTTAGATGTGATGTAAATTTGCAGGAGAGGCCTTTATGCACTGTAAACAATGTTTTCCGTGTTAAGGGGTTGATCTGGTTGGCATTCAAACAATACTTCACTTAAATGAAGTATTGTAATGGTGAGTCAGCATTCCCACTGTTGTTTTTCTGTTTATAGTTTCTTCTGTAAGGTTTCTGAACACAACCTGGTTGGATTTCTGTAAATCTGGAAAACATTCTTCAGCGTGAAGACCATCATGACACTAACAACCTTTAAACACTCACTAAATATTTTTCTCTGCCATTTTTTTACAACCCCGCCCGAGATGCTCTACTTTGATCTCACCATGCTCTATACAGCCACCCTAACAACTCTTTTGGACTATGTCAGAATGCAGTTATGTGATCGAAGGTCATAACCTGCTAGTATGAATCTCTGCCCGAGGCTATTTTCTATATCCTGCTTCACATTTTTGACAACCAAGCTATATTGGTGCCCCAAGGGCCTTGTGTCATGTCATGAAGACACTCTCCCATGCTCCACCCTAAATTCTGAGACACCACCAACACAATGGTACCATTATAACCTTGTTAAAGAAGTTTATGCTTAAATCTACTGTATTTATAGCTACGGGAGTACACTTCAGAAATGTAGCTAGGGAGCTCTGAACTAGATTTAAAAATTATTATTTATCATCACTGAGTTTTAGATCTGGATGTTTTTAGTCAGAGGAGAGTTCCCATTCAGCTGTGAAAATATAGTTCTGGAGCTGATGAGGCAGGTGTAAGACATAACAAAATGAAGTTAGAAACACAAGATAATGTCATCAGCATATTTTATTAGGGAATGACACTTCTGTGAAACAGCCATGTTTAAGGCGAGATAGTCAGAAAAAATGTAATAATGTAGGCCCGTTGAGGCCTGTCCCCAAAAACCTTTGCTTCAGGATTTCTGGTCACAGTCACGTTAAACTAATGCACGATGTTCTAAAGACAAAGGCTGTTTGTCTTCTTCTTATTGATAGTATTTAGTATATTGCTTATAGAAAAATAGACTATTTCTAGTTGCTACCAGAGAACAAGTATATATTTTTTCCACAGCGTGTATGAGAAATCAGCTCTGGCTTGTAAGAAAACATGATCTTTTCTTTTACTTTTAGGTTGTTGGTTTTTTTAAAATAGCAGGTCAAAGGTTTTTGTTAGGACCAGGGCACAAATAGAAGCAGAAAAGATTTAGTGAGGGATATATTGGCGTAACCAGAACCAGGGCCCTTGGGGAACCAGGCCAAATTTAGTGAGTGTACCAAGGGGTGTCTCTGGGAAACTTAATATAAAATATATATATAAAAAAAAAATAGACTGCTTTAGTGCTTTTGTTTAAAGCCTCTGTATTACTTGAGAAAATCATAGTAAAATGCAGGCCAAAAGCCTCAGCCATGCTTTCATTACGCTATATGAAAAAAATTTTTTATTTTAATTTAGTGGTCTAAAGTGCTTTTTTTTTGTATTTTCTGCTTCCCTGAAGCAATCACTTTCAATTGCATCTTAACACCACTGCATTGTGCAGGAATGCAGCTTCAGGTACACAAATGATTTCCACATGTGCTCGAGTGCTTCCTGCTTACCTCTCAAACACAAAACATCCTCTGGTGAAAGTCAATGTGACACGCAGGGAAATATGTACTGATTGCACAAATTGAGTGTTACGCACATCAGGCTCATACGCGCTCACACGCACGCACACACACACACACACACACACACACAC